TGTAGGAGGTCTTGGTTACAGTTTTTCTCCCTGGGCGCATGGTTTTGGTGGGCTGCACTGGACTGCCCCTTCTTCTTGCCAGGGTGTTTCTTATACCCTCTCCTGTAACCTCTCTGGTGGGACTTCTCACACCTCGTACCACTCGTCACTCACCAGAGCAGCTGCCGTCTCATCCCTGGCATGTCAGATGTTGCAGCACTTTCTTTTTTTTTTTTTTTTTTTTTTTTTTTTTTTTCTTCTTCCCTTCCCTTCCCTTTCATGTTTCTGATTTAAGCATATGGTTTTATCTTAAAGACCTAAGTGCTCCAAGCCCAAGCCTGGAGCAGTGCCTGAGTCCAAGCTCTGCCACTGGTATGTCCATCTATACCATTGGCACCAGCCAACCAAGCAGCATTACTGCCTGGTCATTTCCCTGCAATGTGTATTGTATCCAGTTTTATAGTTTCTTTTATACTTTCAACAGACTTTATAACAGCAATAATGTCTTTCAGATAATTACACCGTAATTGACCTTAGCGTTGAGCATCCTTGGCTTTTACTGCAGTTTGCTTAATACTTCAGGATGGTCAATTATCTCGTAATTCCCACTTTGTTGGGAATTATTGTTTTAATTATTACACTCCAAATACATCATTTTGGCATAGTAGTAAGGGTACGCTGGGGAATGGTCATATTCTTGAATGGTTTAAAGAGTTGCCAGCTTTATCATGTGGGAGGGCTTTTCATCCTGTCATCTCTAGTCATTACTTTTAACACTGATTTCATTTAATTATCACTTAGTCTGCTCAGGCCAGGTCTTCATCTGCAGGAGCTAGCATATGGGGAGTTGGGGCTTGCCGGATTTGAGAGCAGTTGGATGGCTGCGCAATCTGACCAGATTGATTTCTTTTCTGCCATGTTACAGTGTGAGTCATATATGTTAATGCAAGTAACTTCCAGTGGAAGTTGGGGATAAAATGAAGTTGTTGTGGTTTTTTTTCTCCTTTCTGAGCAATTTGAAGCATTAATTACCCCAAATAGGTAGTGAGCATGCTGATATTTCCCCTGATACTAGTGAGAATTTTATGGCTGTGTAACAGGCGTATATAGCCCTCTTTATATTCATTTAATTTGCGCCTGTATGGCACCGGTACTCCACCAGGAGTAGCACCCTGCCAGTGTTAGAGAGAAAAGAGAGTGGTCCTTGTGGTGGGAGAGCTTTTCAGTTAGCACTGCCCAAAACAGAGACGAAAGCATAGCATGTCATGCTTTACAGCCTAGTGCAAAAGACGCTGGGGGTCCAGCACTAGAAAAACGAAAAAAAAACTTAAGCAAATTATGTGAACAAGGCAACGTGCTCAGCCTTTCTATAAATGTGTATGTTCGGCTGGTTTTTGTCAGCATTTTGTGGTGCGTTTAACATGAATAAAAATGTTCTGCCTAAGCAGAATATGAAAAATGGGTACGTTTTGTTAAAACAGAAACTAAATATAACCTACGTTCACCAACGAGTATTTTTTCCTGTGTCTGATCTAATTATTATACGTGAGCAAACTCAAGTGTTGGTTAGTAGGAAAATGCTACTCTCTAGTAGATTAATGCATTTTATTGAAGAAAACAGCAGTGTGAAAAGACTTTATTTCTTTATAAATTTTAATAGTTACTAAAATGAGGACTCCGGCCCATTAAGTTACAGCCTGCCAAGTCATAATGCTGAATCACTTAATTTCCTAAGTAGCTATCCTATTCCAGCTTCTTAAAGGCAGCTGTTAGGAGAGCACTGATGTTTTAATCAAGCAACAGGGCAGACTCTTGACAGATAGACACTGCTTCGATGGAGGTTTTCTTCCATGGTCCGCAATTGTAAGGACCTCTCTTGTAGTATGTAGACTTGCACGCTCAGGAGCAAAGGTGTGGGTGGGTACAGAATTACATATAGGAACCTGATGACAGGGAAAACCATGAGGACATAGTTACATTCCAGTATTTCTCACTGAAGATAAATCCTTACAAGTGTTTATAGGCTGAAAAGCTATTGCAAACTATAGTGAGTTGTTATGGGTATGGGTAATATTGTTGTCCCTCACATGCTGAAAACAGACGGAGTTAGGTCCATAGGAAGATCTAAACCATAGCTCATTGACTATGTGCATGATGTATCTTTATTATTTAGCATAAGAGATAAATTTAGATCTGTCAGCACCAGTGCCAGAGATCCCATGAGTCAGAGATCTTTGTGGCAGGTGCTTTACATGTTGAAGGGAAAAGAAGCTCGTACTGCAGGGGTATTGATTGACTGACTCAATGCAAGAAAAGGGGTAGGACAGTTAAAAGTGAGAATGTTTAGATTTGTTCTGTAGTAATTTGGGGGGTTGGACTAGGTGACCTCTAAAGGTCCCTTCCAACCCAAAGCATTCTGTGACGCCAAGAATTGACTCTTGAGGCCAAATAACGTTAGTCCTAGTACACTGGCCAAATTTCAGTTTGGGAAATGAGATTCTGCCTGCTGTCAATAGGTGAGTTGTCTCCATTTTTCTGCTAATGGCAGGTGAGATACTGCAGTAAGATCTTTTCATATTGGTATCAGGTCTGATCCATCTTTGAAGCAATGAAACCATTAAGCAGTATGCATTGCCCCAATGCCCAATGTGGTGCTCATCCTTTATGTGCTGGTGATAATTAGCTACTTTATCATGCTGGTAGGGAGCTTTAATTTATTACTTTATTAAGCAGTGAAATCAAAGATTCAAATGGTATCTATAGCACATAGCTAACTAGATTGTGAAAAATGAAACTATACAGTTTCAAATTTATGAAAATAAATATTTCTATTTAAAAAGTGCAGTAGTTTACTTTAATTCTTTAGACACCATTCTAATTTGTAGTTTACTGGTGATTATTTTTCTTCATTTTAAAGCAAATTGCTTTCTGTAGGGTGAAGTTGAGAAATAATGAATTGAATTCACATTACAAGCTACTGCCTCCCAAATTGTAAATGAATATAAATGTAATAGGAGCATACTATTAAAATCTTTTGCAAAAGACTATGCTATATTGTTGCAGTAAACAAATACACTTTTCAAGCCATCAGTTCATTTAATTTTGCATTTCTACTTGGCCTTTATTTTAAGGGCTTCTGTGCCTACTGTCTCCACATGTCATAACACATGTTGTTAAGATTGCTTTCTTCAGACAAACATTGCTCTCTTCAGAGCAAAAAATAACATTTTTAATTTGTGTCATTTACTATAGCAGTTGATTAATGATCTGCTTTAAAGCTAGATCAGTGAACATATTTTATGGTTTGATCAGGATAGGAAATCCTTGTCTACCTTTTTTATACTGTCAGGGAGAGAGGAGTGTGCAGGCAGGCAGGCAAATGGGAAAGGCACAGGCTGTGTTCAGCACTAGCTTTGTTCTAAAATTTTTATTTCCACTCAGTGTACTTACAGGGTAATTAACAATTACCAGTCAAAAAGATGGAAGATTTTTTTGCAAATTCCACCACTCATTGATCTGAGCAGCTATTCACAAGAATTGGAAATTTCAGAGAAGTAGTAAGGAGGACCTGAGTGTTCCAGCAGGGAGAAATGTTCTCTCATGTGACTGTGGCAACAACCACAGCTTAACTTCTGTGGTTAAGTGTTCTTAATCCTTACCAGAAGTTTGTGGTATAATAAGTTAAGGAAAAGAAGAAATTCAGTAATAGTGATGGAACAGAAGTTGCACAATGTAAATGCTAATTTATTGTTTTGAATTCCTGGTAGTAGCTATAAAGTAAACCTAGGGGTGTGTGCACTGAAAACCCCAAAATCAAATTGCTGTGCTGTATAGTTTTATGAGGAACAACAGCTGTCCATTGTGCATGGAGGAAGAACCCCAAAATCCGTGTTTCTGGATGAATGGGAGGATCTAAAATCCGGCAGTAAGGAAATTTTTTGTTGTTATTCCTCCAACCCCTTTATATAAGGAAGACAGAGAGATGGAAACAGTCAGCATGGTTTCAACTGAGAATTACTTTCATCTTCATTCCTGTCAGCTCCAATTCTGCAAAATGCCTGAACACATCCTTACTTATGTACGTTCAACCGTTGACTTCAATGTGAGATAAAGTTTAGTGCATGCTTAAATGCTTTCTTGAACTAGGGCCAAAAGCTACTGCAGCTGCTAAAATCAATTCCAGAGGGAACTTTGCATCTTTCATTACTTCCTTTTTTTGTATACCAAGACATAGGCTCCACCAAGCTCTGGAAATACGGTAGGAGTTGATAAATGTCGCCTGCCTTGTTTAAAGGAGTAGAGCAGAATTGTTGGATGACAGCGTATAAAGTACATATCTTAGTTCCTTTCCTGTCCATGTGTGCTCTTTAAGGATCCTCACTAAGTGAGGGTTGCAGAATGGCAAGAGATTCCCTGAGCCATTCTGTTGTGTTTCTGTCTGCTGCAGGCACAGCCTGCAATAGTAAAAGGCACCAAAAATAAAAATGAGTTTAGGTTCTTTTCCCCTTTTTTTTTTCCTGTTGCGAGACTGTTCAGAAGCTTGCTTCTTTTTTTGCTAGAAATCATTCATTCACATGTTTGCCCAAGTGTGACTTACCTTGAGCCACTTCGTTCTTCTTGATTTACACAGTCAAATGTACACAATACACACCCACCCCCCTCTTTCGGGAGTATTGATTTAACCCTGCATATTTGTAGAGGAAGCAAGCCAAAACCAGGGCAATGCACAGTATTCATGAAATGGTGCAAAGTACCTCTACATTCGTCCCATTGACACTGCAGATAGCAACTACAGCCCGTCGGCTGATCACCTTTATCTGTGTCTCTTGCAATGCATTGTGCACTTCTAATACAAGACTGTTTGCTGGGTGGTTATCACTGATTAAAATGCAAAGTGCTATCTGTGAGAACAACTCCAAATCACATTACCGGATTAAGTTGTATTGAGGGATGGTGACAAATGAACCACTGTTTTGAATGAGCATCTGATGATGTTTTCTCCATCTCTTTTCTGACTGCAGAGCTCTTCTGTATCTCCCTCAGCCAGTTTCAGAACAGCAGAAAAGCACAGAAATTCAACAGATTATTCTTCAGATAGTAAGAAACAGAAAACAGAAGAGAAGGAAATAGCAGCTCGTTACGTGAGTAAATTGTCTACCTTGTTGAACTTCAGTGTTCCTCTGTAATTTCACCTGATAACTGCCACATGGACAATTATAAACTGAGGGTCAAATTTTTAACAGGTTCTTACTGCCTACCTCTAACATCTATTATAGGTGGAAGGTTTTGGTACATAGGATGGATAGTGTTTTTAACAATGTAAGTATAGAGCACCCAGAAGGTGTGTGACAAGAGGACTGTGCGTTAGTTAAGCTGGGACTTGGTAGATCTGGACTCTAGCTTGGTTCCAGTTCTCAGTGCCATGCAACTTTGAATGAAGATTTTTCATCCTGTTTTCCTTGTTCATCAGTGCGAAAATAGGGAAGAATGCTATAGCTGTGGCAACCTGTTAAGGAGAAGCCCTGTAGGTGACATAAATATTATAATTTTATTACTACATAAAGCTTGGTAAAAGTAAATGCTGTGTTGGGTGATTGTGAGCAGCCTTGCATTTCATTGGTTTATTTTTTCTTAGTACTTAAGAGACGTCGGGATATTAAATACATGTTTTAACACCTTGGGATTTGTCATTGCAGGACAGCGATGGTGAAAAGAGTGATGACAACTTGGTAGTTGACGTTTCTAATGAGGTATGCACAATGGTGGTTTTTGTGGTGGTGTGTGTGTGGGGTGTCTTCAGTGGTTTCTGTGCATATTGGGGTGCGTGATTAAGATTACAGCCTTTGCCTTCATAAAGGAGCTTGAAATGCCTGAGGGCCTCCAGTCAGGTTGTCTTTCTTTAAAATGCAAATCGGGTAGAATCATAGAATAGTTTGGGTTGGAAGACACCTTTAAAGGTCATCTAGTCCAACCCCCCTGCAATGAGCAGGGACATCTTCAACTAGATCAGGTTGCTCAGAGCCTCATCCAACCTGACTTCGAATGTTTTCAGGGATGGAGCATCTACCACCCCTCTGGGCAACCTGTTCCAGTGTTTCAACCACCCTCACTGTAAAAAATTTCTTCCTTATATCCAGTCTGAATCTATCCTCTTTTAGTTTAAAACCATTACCCCTTGTCCTGTCACAACAGGCCCTGCTAAAAAGTTTATCCCCATCTTTCTTGTAAGCCCCTTTAAGTACTGAAAGGCCGCAATCAGGTCTCCCCGCAGCCTTCTTTTCGCCAGGCTGAACAAGCCCAACTCTCTCAGCCTGTCCTCATAGGAGAGGTGCTCCAGCCCTCAGATCATTTTTGTGGCCTCCTCTGGACCCACTCCGACAGGCCCATGTCTTTCGTGTGCTGAGGACTCCAGAGCTGGAAGCAGTATTCCAGGTAGAGCCTCACCAGAGCAGAGTAGAGGGGCAGAATCACCTCCCTCAACCTGCTGGCCACACGGCTTTTGATGCAGCCCGGGAGACAGTTGGCCTTCTGCGCTGTCAGCGCACATTGCCGGCTCATGTCCAGGATTGTTGGCTCATGTCCAGATCTGTAACGCTTATTTCTACAAAGGACCTTTTTGTTTCTTATATGAACCAAAAATCTGCTTGAGATATTTGAAGCCAGCCCAGCACAGCAGATAGGATGCAGCTTGTAATGGTATCTGTTTTTTCTTTCATTCTTGGATGTGACTTCATTTGTGAACTTTCAGGCCTGCCAAGTGCCTCAAACCTTTTCAGTCTGTCACCTGACAAATGAGATTTCCTTGCCTATTTTAATATCCATAGATTTTTAATATTATTTTTCATGGTTAATGGCATCAAATTTTAAGACTTATTTTAAAAAAAAAAGTTGTCTTTCATTATCCATCTTGATTTTACAATTTTATCAGCTGAATCAATTAAGGACTAAAGGGGAAGATGTCACTTCTTATGACAGATCTTCATTCCAAAGTGAGAATTGCTCAAGATAAGCACTAGTGGCTAGTATGATGTTTTTATACTAACCTACATTACTGATGTTTAGGATCCTTCCTCTCCCCGGGGGAGCCCAGCACACTCTCCGCGGGAGAATGGCTTGGACAAGACTCGACTGCTGAAGAAAGATGCTCCAATTAGTCCTGCATCTATTGCATCCTCCAGCAGTACTCCTTCCTCCAAATCCAAAGAACTTAGCCTTGTAAGTGCTTCAAAATGCTCCTGACCCATGATCGTATGCTGAAACACATAATTACTGGATTTCTGACTGGACACAATTTGTTTTTCCACAGCTATCAGTAAAGTACTATGAAGCATCAGTTTAAAATGTGTTTAATTTATCCTGTCAGGGGAATTCAATAAAATAATGAGAAAGTCCACAGCCTTTTTTTGGGATAGGAAGAGGTTGTTTTTGCTGGTGGTGTGGGTAGATGATAGATGTGCTGTGCTGAGAGATGTTTTTCTCCTCCCCCATATGAAAAACTGTCATTCTGAGAATAAATAAGAGTACACAGGGGTTCCCTGAGCTGTTTTCCTGTACTGTGGTTTATAGCAAATTCAGTTCCCTGCTTGGATGTGATTTGGTTGTTAGCTTTGTTTGAATTACCGGACCATATACAACAACAATAATTTTTATTTTCTATCTAAAAAGTAATCTGTCATTTACAAGAGCCTTCCTTGACTTGCATCACAAATCATAATGCAAAAAAGAAAAAACCCGAAAAAAAGAGCTGCCTGCAAGTCGGGGGTGTTCTTTCCTTTCCTGTTTGTGACCGTAGTTAATCACCTTCTTGTGCTGTACAGTAACTCCCCTCTCAATTCTTCACGGAGTCAGGATACACGATTGTTTAAAGAAATAAAATAAATAAAAAGAAAGGTTAAAGTGAGTGTAGGGCTCAGGAAGGGTGACGGAATAACAGGCTCAAGCCCGGGAGTCAGTGGTTTGCCTGATGAACAAGCTTGTCACAAGAGCGGCACTGCACGGCTCGTGACTTTGTACCCATCACTGTCTCTGTCCTGTGTTTCCAGCACCGCATTTGGGCATGAGCCAAGGTTGGTTGCACCTGCTCTTCTTGCCCAGCTAGAAGTGGCCTCTCACAGAAGCTCATAATCGTAATGGGAGCAGGTCCACCATGAACGGAGGGAGACCACTGACAGATTCCACATGTGCTGCCAGTGTAATTGTTAGGCAGCGATGATTTTCAGTCATGGACCTCATTCTGAATGATATGGATGCCCCCGATGAGGAAAGCTGTGAAGGCTGTAGTTGATTCCCAGAGCCATTCTGTCTTTTTCAGTGTCTCTGCAGCTTCTCTTCATTGTCAGGGACTGCTGAAACCCAAACCCAAAAGCTAAATATCACTAATCACGCACACTCTGGTTGTCATTGGCTCTTTTTCCAACCACTAGCTAAAAAAGTAAAATAAATAACGAACTGTCTCTCTTTTTACTTTTTGGTGATTAGAATGAGAAATCCACCACTCCTGTGTCTAAATCAAATACCCCAACTCCACGGACTGATGCCCCAACTCCAGGCAGCAACTCTACTCCCGGACTGCGGCCAGTACCTGGCAAACCCCCAGGTGTGGACCCACTAGGTTAGTGTCCGTACATTGTGACAGTGTGAAACGGTGGCCATTCGTCCCTAACCAGGCTCCCTGTAAATCTACAGTGACAAGGCAGTATGTTATAGCTCTTTAAACTGGATGCTGAGCTGGTTCCCCAGCACTTTAATGCAGCACGTGCACGTGTGTGAGTGTAAAAACACACACACACACGCGCGCGCACACACACACACACACACAGAGTTTACTGTTTGCCAAACTCACATTTCATCTGATGGGGCTGGGCTGGCTGGCTGACTTCTCTCTTCTTTTCCCCTCAATAGCTTCAGGTTTAAGGACACCTATGGCAGTGCCGTGTCCTTATCCTACTCCATTTGGGATCGTGCCACATGCTGGTATGAATGGGGAGCTGACCAGCCCTGGGGCTGCCTACGCTGGTCTACACAATATTTCCCCTCAAATGAGTGCGGCAGCTGCAGCAGCAGCAGCGGCAGCAGCTTATGGGAGATCTCCAGTGGTAAGTGTCTGCTGCTGGTGCGCTTGGTGTTGAGAGCATTTTGTATTAAATGTAACACCTGCGGGGTTAAATCTAGTTCAGTCTCTTTGTAATTTGGGGAGTATGCTGTGGAGAACATGAATTAAACAGTCTTCCTTTGCCTAACTGCGTCTTTAATACACCTTTTTGTTTTGCTTGGGGAACACTATAGGTTGGTTTTGATCCACATCATCACATGCGAGTCCCAGGCATCCCTCCCAATCTCACAGGCATCCCAGGAGGAAAACCGTGAGTATCAAACATTCAACTTTAAAAGTCAATCATCTGTTGAATTTGTGTTCCCTTGCTGGTTGGAATTCCCCTTAGCTACTGAAAACTATTGTGTGAATAGGAATAAATACAGCTATTTGCCAAGGGCAGGAGAAACACTGTTTAATCTTAAAGTTGCATTTATAAATTTGTTTTGAAGACTTAATAGCAGCCAACAAGGACTGGGTGGTGTAGAGTAAAGGAGACAGAAATAAATGGCAAAAGGAGCTGGACTTCAAGGTGCTACAAGCTGAATCTGACTGGTTGGCCTTATAGGGAAATGCAAACTGGAACGGCATCTCAGTTTTCCATCTCTACTGTACTCTGCTTCCCAGTTAAAAAAAAAAAAAAATTTGTTCGCAAAAGCCTTGCAATTATTTGCAAATTTATCAGCTGCTATGAACAGCAGTGTGCAGAGAAGGGAATAATGAAATGTTTTGCTTGATTGAAAATACTGGCAAGAATTACTATATTATGGTGTTCAAATTCATCCTTGATGGAACTGACCATAAAATGTGACCAGCTCTACCAGGCTTCGCTTGTTGTGAGCCTCAGAAAAAGAATTACACAGATGTGAAGAACTCTCTGCTCGCATCCCTCTTGAGTTAGGGAGGGGAAAAAATAAAACAGTGATGCAAACCATATTGATCCAGATTTTATGTAAGGGTCCTCAGGTTCCACTTCTTCTGTAACACTTGTGGGTAACTGTGGCCATCTAATACTGGAGGGTCTGAAGGGCAGGGGATGTTTGTGCCATTCCTTCTCTCGCTGTCATATGTATGAACATGTTTGTGGAGGAGTGGCTGGGGGGTAGTCTTGCATGCATATGAGTAAATGCATAGGCTTAACTGGCCACTGAGCTTGTGGACATGCAGGATTAGTAACATATGTGGTGACAAGCGATCGGTCCTAGTGCCTGTAACTCCTTTTTACATAGAGTGTCACACAAATTATCATAGAATCATAGAATCGCTTTGGTTGGAAAAGACCTTGAAGATCATCGAGTCCAACCGTTAACCTAACCCTGCCATCCCACCACTAAACCATGTCCCTAAGCACCTCATCTATCCTTCTTTTAAATACCTCCAAGGATGGGGACTCTACCACCTCCCTGGGCAGCCCATTCCAGAGCCTGACAACCCTTTCAGGGAAGAAGTTTTTCCTAATATCTAACCTAAACCTGCCCTGGCGCAGCTTCAAACCATTCCCCCTCGTCCTATCATCTGTTACCAGAGAGAAGAGGCCGACCCCCACCTCCCTACAGCCTCCTTTCAGGTAGCTGTAGAGGGCGATCAGGTCTCCCCTCAGCCTCCTCTTCTCCAGACTAAACAACCCCAGTTCCCTCAGCCGTTCCTCGTATGACTTGTGCTCCAGACCCCTCCCCAGCTTGGTTGCTCTCCTCTGGACATGCTCCAGCAATGCAACATCCTTCTTGTAGTGAGGGGCCCAAAACTGAACACAGTATTCGAGGTGCGGCCTCACCAGCACCGAGTACAGGGGCACGATGACTTCCCTTGTCCTGCTGGTCACACTATTCCTGATACAGGCCATGATAAACCGTGTCCAGCTCTCTCAGACATGACACACTAGTTACCACCTCAGTTTGACTTTCCTGCTAGTTGTGCCGCCCTGGTATGTGGCTGTGTAAGGCGAGTTTGGAAATTGGTGTGCAGCAGCTTCTGGACCAGCTGCTTGTATTAAAAATTCTGCAGTGCACAGATCTTCATCCTGCACGTGCAGCAGGCACTTTAGAAATGTCTTGATGTTATGGTCAAATGTTTGCTGGGTTCAAGTTCATCCTTGGTGACGTTGGCCGCCTGGAAGGAAGGGTGACCGGCTCTGCCAGGCTTTGCTTGCTGTGGTCTGAGAAACCCTGGCAATATCAGGGGTGTGGAGACCTCCCTGCTCACCTCTCACTCCTGTTAGGGATGGGGGGAATAAAATGTGTGACAAACCTGAAATCAAACCGGTTCAGTTCTGGTGGATCTCCAAGGTTTTTGAATATTGTTGGCATATTGATGACTGCTATAAACATTTAAATGCAACTGTCATTTGTCTGCTGTAGGGCCTGAAACCTTGGAAATCTGTGGTTCTTTTAGCATGATTGCATTGATTTTTTTCTTCATCTTAAGTACATTACTTTTCACAGATGTCATTCAGGATTGTTGCTTTCTCATTTACTCTTCCTTTTCCCGTAGAGCGAAAGTTGTGTAAATTCCCCGCACTGTTGAGTGTCTATTGAAATGGAGTGGGCAGTGTGTGGCACATCAGGGATCTGGCCCCTAATAACTCTTTTCACTTTGGAGATACATCAAAACACTGAGGATTGTACAATATATAAATAGAAAAGCTAGCTAATGTGAAAAGAAGAAAAGAGTGCTCACCAGGTGTTTACAGTGTCAGGTATTTGTAAGATATTTAGAGTACTTCAAATAAGCAACATACAGTGTTAGTCCTCAGAGTGAAGGAGGAAAAAAAAGAAACCACAACCCACTTCACCACCACAAAACCAAGCCAAGCAACAAACCAACAGTTTAATCACCCAGCTGGTATGTAGTAACAAATAGGGTGAGAATAATGTAGTCGCAGATCACTCCGGGTCTAAGCTTTACTTCTCTAATTATTAAATATGTTCCCTGTGTACTTTATAAGCATGGTAAAAATCACACTGGCTGATAAAAGTATCATACACTCAGTGCTCAACATGGCTCTGCAGAGGGTGACTGCATACAGAAATCAGAAAAGATGATAATGAAGTTCCACTTGTTTTGTTAGAGATTTCAAGTGACCATCAGCTGCTTTTTTGAGTACCTTGCTGCAGCAAACAGGATTTAGGGAGATAACAAGCAAGATATTTCAGATTTCTGTGGTGATAATCGAGCGCTAATTCTACTCAGATAGGCAGTTTGCTGCTTCTGGACAACCACAGAAACCTGTCCTGCCCTTTCCTGAATGTGTTTAATGTCAAAAAATGGAGAATGATGATATGATCTATCACTCAGACCTGGCAGAACAAGAAACAGAGCGCAGGATGAGGAGTGTGTAAAGCTCTGGGAGAAGGGCAGAAGGGTGAAAATGCAGTTGCATTTTGTCCCACTGAAGATTATTGTTCTAGTGTTAATGCACTATGAATCTTAAATAACAAATTAAATAGTTGAATTCTGAAGACCGCCTTCTTCAGTGACTTTGAAGCAACAATTAAGGAAGTGATCTGCAGAAGTATTCTCGCAAAATGTTTTGGGTTTTTTTTTTGGTGAGCTCTCCTCATCCCACCATTGTAACAACAGCTTTTTCATCTGTACTATGGTGATTTTTTAGGTCTAAGAAAATGAAAGCCTTCTGTTGAGCATACGTTGGTATGTGTAGGTGAGCCCTCTTCCAAAGTTTGTACTCTTGTAATAGATGCGATGTGTCAGGTAGCATCTCAGAACAAGACAATTTCACAACCCAACTGTTCTCCATGGAAAATATTTTGAGATGAAGCTGTTGATAGGTTAGTCACAGGTGGCATAACTGGCAGTCGAACAACACATTGTTTCTCAGTGAGAGCCCTGATTCTGGCAAGAGAAATTGGGATTGTTGTTGTTGTGTCAAGTCCACAAAAAAAAAAAAAAAAAAAAAAAAAAAAAAAGGGAAAAGAAAAAAAAAAGACAGCAAGTGCAAAAGAAGGAAAAAAATCCAGTGCGTTTTTGCTGGTCTGTCATGTCAGCAGCCAGCAACTGTGCCTTGAGGACTTAACTCCTTGATGGTGGAGGTTTCACTGCACCCCCCCTTAGGTACAGTGCTGGGCAGTTTTGCTTGAGGGGTGTGGGACCTGCAGTGCGTTCAGGGCAGCTTGGCAGCAGTCCAGCTGAAGTTTGCACACTAGAGTCAGTAAGCAGCTAAATGTCCCCTGGCATTCAGCTCTACCTGCCATGCTCTGCAGCAGCCAGATGACTATTTTTGTCTTCCAAGGGGCCCTGACCCAACCTTCTTCCCTTCCTGCATGCAGTGGTCTCCCCGTGCCCCAAGTTTGAGAGTAGCGTTGCGTATCCTCACTAATGCCAGATATCATCATGGCATGAGTTGTAAAAGCTCATTTGATTGCTAGACTTCCCATTGTAAAAGAAGAGCACCTAAGCTTATGCTTTGAGGGCCATGTTATAGATAAAATAAATAATTTTTTCTTCACATGATTAAAGAGATTGCAAAAGGAGCTGAGTGCACAATCTGAATGCCCACAGTGGAAACACACCTTTAATTCTGTTTTCTTAAATAGCCTCAAAGAAAAACTTCTTATATCACCCCCTATCTTTTTTTTCCCCTGAAGAGCATACTCATTTCATGTAAGTGCAGATGGTCAGATGCAGCCAGTTCCTTTCCCTCCTGATGCCCTCATTGGTCCAGGAATCCCTCGCCATGCCCGCCAGATCAACACTCTGAACCACGGGGAAGTTGTGTGTGCAGTTACCATCAGCAACCCCACGAGACACGTGTACACGGGTGGGAAGGGGTGCGTCAAGGTCTGGGACATCAGCCACCCTGGCAACAAGAGCCCTGTCTCTCAGCTGGACTGCCTGGTAGGTGAACAGCAGCATACAACAGTGGAAGAAGATAGCAGGTTTTGTTAAGATTGAAATGATACCATTAAGGTACAAAAAACAGTGGCTATTTGAGCACTGTCATTGGTATCAAAGCTTGATACTTCATTTGTAATTTGTTGTTTCTTTTAGAGCTGAATTTGAAGTATGTTCCTTGCCGTAGTTGTGGTTTTTCTCCCCCAATGAATCAAAACATCTTCAATATCCTAAAATTGTATTGGTAGGGGGAAAGATCAAAGGCAGCGCAGCAAATATTGTTTATAAACTTTGACATTTGTTGGCAGTCTTAAAGCTTGATATCCTATCATGCTAAAAATTGCTGTCTTGCAGCTGTGTTCTCCAAGAATATTTCAAGATTGTGTCACGTATTTTGTGTCTGTGTATGTGTGTGAATGCATTGCCCATCTTAATATGACAATTAAAAATATCCCTGAGTGTTATTCACAAATTATTTGAATGTGCTAACAAGATGAACCATTGTTAGCAGCTTTTCCTGTGTCATTTACCAGTTCTTGGTAAGATGTTGCTTCTTGTTACAGAGGCAGTAAAATGAGAGCTGTGCAGCACATGTAGACATATAATGAATTGCTACACAAGTTGCTACACAAATGAAGAAAATTGCCTGAATATTTTCCTCTGACATCTCCTAGATGGTGGCAGCAAGTCTCACTGGAACAGGGGTGGGGGGATGGCGGGGGGGAGCGTGCAGGGAATTTGGTACTCCCCCATGCCGAGAGGTTAATGTGCTGAAATAAACAGTGTATGAAAACGTAACTTTCTACACAAGCTGTCGAATACAGTTATCTTGAATTGTTTTGGGCTGGGTTCAGGTCTTTGCGTTTTGATGCTAATTAAGATTAAATATCTCTCACTATGGAATTTTGTAGATCAAGTTTAAGTACTTCCCTAATGTCATGTAATTTTCTGGCATTAATACACTTTATCATTGTCATAAGTATAAATGGCTCATTAAAACCAGGAGGGAATACAATACTTTTATGGATTTCTGCTCTCATGTTAATGCTGTTTTCCTTTCCTCATGAGTAATCTCTTGATGGCTTCTGTCTCCACAGAACAGAGATAACTACATCCGTTCCTGCAGATTGCTCCCCGATGGCCGCACCCTGATTGTTGGTGGGGAAGCCAGCACATTATCCATTTGGGACCTGGCAGCTCCTACTCCTCGCATCAAAGCAGAGCTGACATCTTCTGCTCCGGCTTGCTATGCCCTAGCTATCAGCCCCGATTCCAAGGTCTGCTTCTCTTGCTGTAGCGATGGGAACATTGCAGTGTGGGATCTGCATAACCAAACTTTAGTAAGGTAGGTCAACAGAACTGGATCATCAGGTTGTGAAGAATTAGTTAGACACGACCTTATGTGCTCTTCTGCGTGCATAAACTGTTTTCTCCGTGGTGTCTGCATAGCTGCTTCCAGTATTTCATTGCTAGGCAATAGCCATGGTAGTACCTCAACAAAGGTCTATATAATTGTTTATAGGTTTCGAGAGTTTCATAATTCCAGGCCTCTTGAGTGGCCTGTAACTATAATTTCCTAAAATCAGCTGGTGTTGACACTGCTGTAGGTTCTTTGAACAGATAGTTTTCTTTGTTTCCATGCAGTGCACTGTGCTCACACTCCAATCTCTTTAATCAGTGCTCCAGCAAATATATCTTGGGTAAAGACCTGTGTAAATCACTGCATTGCAAACTTAGCATCTTAGGAGTATGGGTTGCTGCTCAACACTAATGTACAGTAAGCCTAGAGCCAGTCATACAGAGCTTTTCTGTGCACTGCACTGTGTTTTTGTTGTTATATGTAATATATCAGTATTGCATGTAAAGGCAGGCTTTCCCTCCCTGACGTCCCCATTTAGACTGCTCTTTTTTTTTTTTCCAACTTTGTTGGTGACCTGCAGATTCTTCTTAAACTAAGTGAATTTTGACAATCGTGCTGCATTCCTTTGGGGAGAGTAGGGTATTTTCAAGATGAATGGTGGGTATCACACAGTCAGCAGCAAAGATCCCCAGAGTATCTGACTCGTAAAGTGTGCTTTTTGAAATCAAATTAGCGCTTGGCTGTCTGGCCTGATTGCTTCATCAATTCATCACAAGACTCACATGGTCGTCCCATAGTTTATATTAATCTCAGACTGCTATTGGAATCTACGCTACTGTTGTCTTTAATGGCTGGGTGTCAGGGACTGGAAGAAAAAGGAGGTATTTTGTATACGTGACCAGAACCGACTCTTTCCAGTGTGAGAACACACGTATCTTCTTTCAATATTTTCAGGCAATTTCAGGGCCACACAGACGGAGCAAGCTGTATTGACATTTCTAATGACGGCACCAAACTATGGACAGGAGGCTTGGACAATACGGTCAGATCCTGGGACCTCAGAGAAGGGAGACAGCTACAGCAACATGACTTCACATCGCAGGTTCAATCTCAGAAGCTTTGGCATGTTAAGAAAAATCTGTCATGGTTTTCTAAACATGCGATTTTGTTTGTTGGTTTGTTTTTTTTTTTAAAGCAAAAGAAGTAGGCTCAAAGAGAATGCCAAAGAATTTTTCACTTAGTCTCATGCTTTTTTTTTTTTTTTTTTTTTTTTGATGTGGCAACTAAACATCTTTCTGGATTATGACTATTTGACAGATTAGTACCTCTCCCATGAGAATAGTGGAGAGTCCTTTTTATAAAAGAATTGCCAGATTAAAGTGTTCCTGTGTGCAATCTGTTCCTGTTTCTGTAGATTCTCGTTCAAAAATATTTTACGAAAATATTTTAAAATGCTGTCAGATAAGCTAGGACATTAACTTTTGTAACTTGATTCAGTGCTTCACTATTACAGTTTTAATTGAGCTTTGTTTACATGAACTAATTTATCTTGATTACTATAGTAATTGGATTATCATGTTTTTAAAACCCGTAGTAGACCAAAATGTGGTTTTGCATAGTGTTAACAGTGTAGCAAGAGTCAGTTTGAATACTTCAAGCTCACTCCTTTACTGATTGAAGCATGTGCTGTGCTAATTCCAGATCTTCTCACTGGGTTATTGTCCAACTGGTGAGTGGTTGGCAGTAGGAATGGAGAACAGTAACGTCGAGGTGTTGCATGTTACTAAGCCAGACAAATACCAACTGCATCTTCACGAGAGCTGTGTGTTGTCACTCAAGTTTGCTCATTGCGGTAAGCAAATCTTCCCAGGCCAGTGTTCTCCCTCCTGGGAAATCCATTCAAGATTCCCTTTAAATGAAAGTAGGGCTGTAGTTAAAAACTAGATGTTAAACATAAGTATTAAAATTATTTTTAAAATTCTATATAACTGCTTTTTTGTGTGAACTGCTTATGTTGTGTTCAAACATCACAGTGCAACCAGATGAAAATGTGACTGTTCTTTGGATATGTTTTCCATTAATGTGTGAATGCATTGTTTTTATGATTAATCTGTTTCTGGGATGCATTCCTTGAAAACAAAATGCAACTATAACGTTTAAACAATCTGTTGCAGGCAAATGGTTTGTAAGCACTGGAAAAGATAATCTTCTTAATGCCTGGAGAACACCTTATGGAGCCAGTATATTCCAGGTAAAAGTGTCCTAAAGCTATTTTCCACATACATTACCGTGCGGTAGAGCTGCACATCTCAGGGTCTGTCATTAGTTTAAGGAGTTTTTAAATGGAAATTCTTGGCTAATTATTGTGTTCCTTTAAGACTTTGCTTGGAATTAAAGAGAGAGATGCTTTTGTCCTTTTTAACATTGGAGCAATTTAGCTCTTGCAGTAAAGCAGCCCTTTAATCCAAAATTGTTTTTAATACGCTTCTTGTCTACCCTTATTGTGCTTATTCCTGTAATAACAGTACCCAAGTCATGTTGTTAGGTGAGCATTCACTGAAGGTCCAAAATGTTGCTAAACCAGTGAAAGTCATATTCCACATGTGTATTTTTCTCTTGGATGAGATGTGTAAAGTCAGTGGATTGGGCAGGGAGACTCCTGAGCTGAAGCCTGTATCCTTGTGGAGGAGCCCTGTGGAGTGTAACTGGAAGTTGTAACCCTTCTATAGTCTTTAATCTCTCTGTGCCCAGTTTTAATGGCACTGAAAGAAAAGTGGGTTTTTTGGCATGCCCTTCTCTTCTTTCACCTCTAGGCTGGGGATTTTTAGGACTAAGTTAACTGGCGTTCCGGTTTAAATGGCCAAGTCTCACCTGTACTGATACCTGCCACATCTCCACCTTTGGGGACAGTGCAGTTTGCCTTGACACGAGAAAGCTGAGGTCTGAGCTCTCTTAGTGGAGGCTATTCAGCTCCTGCACCACCTCCTAGGGAAGGCCCAAATTGTCCTAAGAAGCGCACACCTCCCTCAAAAGTCATGTTAAAACCCCAGTGCAGGTTACTTAACAAGAGGGAGAGAAAGAAACTTCCTGTGCAGTGCAGCAGAGTTTTCTTGGCAAAAACTTAGCATGATTGGGAAGTGTTTAGCTCTTGCAGTGACAGGCAGAAAAGAATCTGGATGTATGTTATGTAAAGAAAACATGCACTAAAACAGCCAGTAAAATGTGACAATACATACACATCATCTCTGAAAAGACAGAAAAGCTGGGAGAGACAGAGCTACTGCATCCTGGTGCGTCCTGTCTCCCATTCACCTGCTGTTCACTGCTGCACATCCTATTCCACCACAGTATCTCTTCGTACTTACATCCTCCCTGACAGTGTAAATTCCTTTGTGCAAGGCTTTTATCTTCTGTGTTGGGGAAGTAGTGAGAGGAGATATGGTTACTTCTGTGGAGTCTCTGTGTTTCATACCTGTGGGTGGGTAGGTTTTTGTGGTGCTTCTCCATACGAATTTCTGGTTTACAACAAAAAAGGGAGGGAAGAAGAAGATGTCTTTTCCATTCATTTTTATGCAAAAGCTAATATATAAAATACTAATAAATACTCACTGCTTGTAAAGTGTACAGAAAGGTCTGCTTCTTTTTGTTTGATGGATAGGTTGTATCTCGGTCCATAACATGCATTTCCCCTTCCGCTACTGGTTTTTGTTGCCATAGAGCTATAGGTGGAACAAGTTTCTCCAAACAGTCTTGTAACAACAGCTGCCACTATGTTACTGATACTTAAATGAGCTTTTGGTGAATTTCCTCTCTATAAACTCTTCCAATTAATCTTCAAGTCCTTCTGGATTGAAGGATAGGAAAGATGTAATTTTCTTTTTTTTTTCCCTTTCTTTCTTTTTTGTAGTCCAAAGAATCCTCATCTGTGCTTAGCTGTGATATCTCTGTGGATGACAAATACATTGTCACTGGCTCTGGGGACAAGAAAGCTACAGTCTATGAAGTTATTTATTAGAGACAAATCTAAATGCAGACTGAACTCCTTCTCCTAGCACTTTGCTATATGTTCCTTTTTTTTTTTTTTCTTTCTAAACTGAAAACTTAAATGCTCATCACAGTTGTGGAATTTATTTTTACCTTCTTAACTTGCTGTTGATTTGGGAATGCTCATTAAGAAGTTGTGATACCAAATTGTCAGATATCTACTTGGAAGAAGATGGAATAAGCATAGTTAACAGTGAACTTGACTCTTTAATTATGTATTATAGCTGTAATGTATTTATTTTGTTTAAAGAAGGCTTTCTAACAATGAACTGACTAAATAAAGCTGTCTGGCCCGGCTTTAGTTTGAAAGGTGCATTGTATACTTTGTGTTTTTGCAGGTGGATAAATTGGGGATCTTGGAGAAGGATGTTCAGCAGATAGTTAAAGCTACACTAAATAGACTTGTAGTTTCTATTTAAAAAAAATAAACTTTGTTATATTTTTTAGTCCTGTTCTTGGATGAGACCTCTAAGTGTTATTACAGTATAATTATTTGGTGGGAAGATGCTGTATCTTAACTATTTTAGACAGTCTTGGAAACTTAGGAAATTGCAAACTGTAGCCAGTAATCTACATGCCTGTGATGAATGGCAAATTCAGTTCACATCTAAATTAAATTCACTTTAAGTAAGAATGTGCTAATTTATATATTTGCAATGTTAATATAGCATCTTGTGTACAGATTTGTTCTCAATGCTTTTCTGTTGATAAACATAAAGCATTTTGGTGTCAAGCTAGGTTTTTTAATATAAACACCTCTCTTTGTTATATTGTAGAGAGTACAATAAGTTGCCTCAAAGAATCACCTTTGTTACTTCTGGAAACTTTTGCAATGTTTCCTTGAAAATGGGGATATGTGTCTTTGGGCAATTTTTCAATTACAAGAGATTATGAAAAATATTTGATATGTTCTTTGGAAACTGCACTGAAATAAGAATGGATGCCTACCAATATACAAACTACAAAAGCAATGACCTCTGAGGTAGGATTTACAAGAGTACTCATTCCGACATATAAAAAGGAATGGATTCTCATTGGGATAAGGACTTGCTTTGTTCGCCAGCAGTTCAATCCAAGTCTTGATTGGATGTCCCTAAAACGGACGCAGACTGAGCCATTGTGCCAGAGACAACGTGTTATCTTTTTATGTTGTTGTTGTTGCTGTTAAACTATGATCTGTGACTTTTTTTTTGAATGCTTTAAAGAAAATCTTTAAGTCTGTGGATCTGCTGATGTACAGTGCCTTTGCTGCTATGGATCAAAATCAAAAGACCCGTGTAGATAAATCTTATTGTATAAGTAGAAAATTACTTAATTTCATACTAGAAATGGATTGATGCTGCAAGTTAAAATGGACTGTTCATTGAAGTTCCAAATGTGGTAGCAAAAAATGGTGTCTTAAGTGCTTAGTGTTTGATGTCATTAACGGTTTCGTAATACTCTACATTGTAGAAAGATTTTGATACTAAACTGTGTCATTGTACATAGTTCTAATGCATTGTATTGACCACCAGTACTTCTATAATGGTAGATTATTGTTTGTGCATTCAGACTTTTAAGCATTAAACATAAGTAACTTCTAAGATGCATTTTTCTATATTTTTTCCCCCCTCCTTCATCCTTTTTGTGTGTCATAATCTCAGCTATGTGCATGCAGAAGGCTGTCTTTAAGAGCAACAGGCGTTCAGTCACAGAGAGTGCCACTACCGATACTTTGTGGTTTTGTCACTGAAAGACAATGTAGAGTTTCACAAGATTTCTCCGAGCTAGCAAAATGAATGGATTTATGTTTTCCCAGGTTACCTGACTGCAGTGATTCTGAACTCTTGGTGGCATCAGCCACAAGACTTTGGCCGTGTCACCTAGGAGTTTGCCACCTCCTGTTTGTGCGGTTTCACAGCCGATACAAAGCTTTACATTACCCCATACCTTGGAGAGAGTGAAATTGGGAACAATTCCTGCTCCCATGCCTGCTGAAGTATGCGGAGCTCAGCAGGACATGGGGAGTGGTGTTGCACTGCAGCATCACACCTGGGTATCCCCATCCAAAGCTAAAACCCGTTCATTCCTGTGGAAAGGCTTCTCTTGACTACTGTTGGTTTTAGATCAAGAATTTAACCCAGCTTCCATTGAGATAAACACAGGTTAAATTGAATTCGGGGAAATTAATTTGTTCACTACTGGGGGGGGCAGGGGGTGGTGGGAGGAGTTTTGCTATTCATAACAGGAGAATTGCAGATGGAAAAATCCAGTGGGAAATTGGAATTAAGTCTTTCTCCCATAAACCATTTCTGAAAAGCGACATTGTGCGTATTGGATGTTCCCAGGCGTGTAAGTGTGTCCTGCTGTGGTGTGCCAGCCCGTGGTGACTGCTAGTACATGAACCCAAGTTTGGGGGGTTTTTTTGAAATGCCAAAACAAGGCCTAAGCTGATGAGGTCATTTACCTGTGCTGTGCGTGACTGGGTAGTACTTGTTGATGGAGGAGAATGTAGAGGCAAGTTCCCCTGAGAGCTATCGGTTTCCTTAGAGTTAACAGTTAAGAATTTTCCAGATGTCCCCCAGAATAATGTAAGTTCTCACTCGTATTGAGGTTCTGTGCTACTTAGAACTGTAGTGCTTTACAAAGGTAAACATGGTACAGATGCTTTCTGTTAATTGTTACTCTTGTCTGAAGAGATATAATTTACCTGTTATTATATTGGAGACACCTTTTATTTTCAAAGGCATTCAAAAATTTAAAAGGGTAGGGTGTACTCCATTTGCTAACAAAAGAGAAACCACTACTTAATGTTTGCACAGGATGTTATATTTTTATGTAGTAGTTCAGGCATAAGAGATTACTTAAAACCCCTAAGATAAAGCCTTCTTATAAAAAGAATAAAACATTGCATACTCCTGAATTTATACCAGAGCTAGTTTTGACAGCGAAGTAATACACTTTTAAAGCAGCCTGCCATATATCTGCTTATTAATGTTTGTATTGATGGGTTGTAAACAGTCTAAGAATTAAATGCTTTAATCCAGGATTACTGCAGTTAAATGTGTAATCATCCTAATTTTTTTCCCCTTCAGCGTTCAGTGCCAGTGAGAGATGGTACAGAGCTACTTTGTGTTTTTCAGTTAAGCATATATAGGGTCACCTTTCTTTTTCATTCTTTAGTTTCTCTCACCACTGCAGAGCACAATCTTGCGCAAAATGTTTTGTTACCAATGTTTTCTGTGCCACAAACGTGGCCAGCTTACTCCATATTCAGGGTACAACCATTGCTTTCTCTGTATTCTTTCCCTCTCAAATGTTGTTTAGTGCAATGATACATTAGGAAAGCCATTTCTTTCTAATCTTTGTATCCTTTCTGACTAGCCAGCATAGACATGTTTAAGGGGAGCACTTTCCATCAAAATAGTGTTCTCTAAAAGTACACAATTTTAAATTGTATTTCTCCTGCTTGTTCTTAGCTGAAAGTGATTTTTCTCTCCTATTTCTTTTTAAGCTACTCAGTTACATAATAAAGAAAAAAAGTATGTATTTTACCATCTGTGATTTTCCTGTATCAATCAACCTGTTTTGATTGGGTTTTTTTGTTTCGGTTTGGTTTTAACTGTTTGGTCCTTTGAGCCTCTTCTGGTTTTCTACTAGTGTGTTTATTTGTGATCATCCCTACTGAAAACCTGTTGTGACTAGCTTCTACTCAAGGATTTATGCTCTAAAAGAATGAAAAGCAAAAAAAAAAATAAATTGTTACATAAAATATGCTCAAGTTTTTTGTTTGTGCAGGCGTCAGGAGATTCAAAGCAGTAGCTTGGGCTGCAACTGTTTCTCATTTCCATTGAATAAACCTCGTTTTCGTAGCACCAAATTATCACTGAATACAGCAATACAAAATATGCTTCAGAACATCAAGTATGGCTACTGAGAAGAATGTCGCTTTGAATTTTTCAGAACGAATGCACTCTGAAGAGCTCAGCCAAAGAGCTGCTCTTACGTGGGGTATGTGGGAGGAGTAGTTGCATTCAGTACTGAAGACCTTTCCCGATACAAATATTTTGTAGTGACCACAGTGATATCAAAGAGGGCTGGGCAGTATGGGCTTGATGTGCAGCCAGCCAGTTCTGCCGTGTATTTACATGAGACGCCCCTTCCCAGGCATAGCAGGAGATGAATCCTGGAGTAGTGTGCTGTAGAAGATCATCTCTGACAAGCTCTTAAATAATGCACCTGCCGTGTCTGCTTTTGAACCAAGAGTTACTGAACATAACCCTTGAGATTTCACGTTTCTTCCGGTATTTGGAGTACAGCGTTTCCACCTCACAGCAAGAAATTTTTATGTCAAAACCAATAAATGTTCTTACTCTTACCAAATGATTTTCTGTCCTGGTTACAAGGAAACAGTATTATAGTGTCTTTTTTTATTAAAAATGGTGTAGTCTGACATTTACAACATGTCCATAAACCTGCCGTCAAGTGCAAAGAAGCTCTTCTGGGAAGTCACTTTGACTCACATGGTTATGTTCTAAAATGTTGTTGCAGAAATGCATTTTTTTCTTGTTTTGGGGGGGATTAACCTATGACATTGTATACATAGTATACACGATAAGGGAGGGACTGCCTCGTAGTTACTTCTGCATCAGTGGTTTGGACTTTGCTGATTACCCCAGAATGCTAAAATGCATCTGAAGGGTAAAATCAGTAAGTACAAATATTTAAGGATTTAAAAAAAATTCTGCTGTTCTACAGTAATTCTATTGACCCAAACTGTCTTTTAATGTCATATCAAGGTAAGCATCTGTATTACACCTTCTTTTCATATTGAAATAAAAGAAGGGGTGGAGGAATTTAAAGCTAATCTTTACCTTTCAATCAAATCAATTCTTTAAAAAATACCCAACACTAGTGCTTGGCGGAGCAATTGTCTTGGTTTTATTGTCACTATTTCTGAAGAATTTTATAACAAATGTGCTGTGGCAAAATCCGCAGTTATACTCTAAATGGGGATAGGTGATAGGGCTGCTATTAAAACCCAGGTTTTAGACAGTGCTATTGACATACATGAAAGTCTACGTGACTTGGTGGTCAAAGGTGTTACTGCATTTCCTGAGCAAAAGCAATATGGATTTTTGGCAGAATATTTGAATGCATTTGGATGTCTATCTAGTATAGCTTAGGGAAAAATTGAGGGCTTTCAACAATTCTGTCTTGATTTTTTTACTGTAATTTGGGATGTGTTTGATGCAAGAAATGGTGCATAGGGATGAGTCAGGTCCTGAGACCACGGGCAGGAGGTGCCATGTGGAACGGACTGCTCCACTGCTGATTCCAGGCTCCACTCTGTGCTACCTGGCATGTAGTGAAATGATTTGCATGAGCCCTCTGTAAAGTGTTTTTATGTTCTTCTGCATGAAAGGCAGTGTCTAAAGGCTAGATATCTGTTATTTAGAAAAATGTGTCACAGCTGTATTGAAATACAGGGAGACATTTTCTGTTGGGGGGAAAAACGAGGACCTCTGGGGAATCAAGCATTTCAACCCCTTTATCAAGCACTGTAAGTGTGCAAATGAGGCAGTTGCACCACTGCATTATAAACTGTCAGTCTTCTGGAGTGAGGAGAAAAAAAATCCTGAAATACATGGTATGAAGATCATGGAATCATTTGGCTGGAAAAGACCTTTAAGATCATCGAGTCCAACCGTACCTGTCCACTAGTAAACCATGTCTTTAAGCACCTCGTCTACCCCCCTTTTAAATACCTCCAGGGATGGGGACTCAACCACTTCCCTGGGTAGCACCTTCCAGTGCCTGATAACCCTTTCAGAGAAGAAATTTTTCCTAATATCTAATCTCAACCTCCCCTGGCACATCTTGAGGCTATTTCCTCTTGTCCTATCCCTTGCTACTTGGAAGGAGAGACTGACACCCACCTCACTACACCCTCCTCTCAGAATAAGATCATAGACTTCCTAGTGTTTCAGCATGGCTTTAAAGTATTAGTATGAAGTCCAATTTACATTCATTTTAGAATAAACGGACATGAATCCTCTTGTGGTATTAATGATAGCATGGCCTTCCATCTTAGAAAGAACAGTGATGCTAAAAGAATGAGGATAGTTACCAGGCTTTCTCTTCTCCAACACATGAAGCAATATTATATAAAAAAAACCTGCTTATTTTACAGTAGAATTTCCTAAGTGTGGGCAGTGATGTTAATATTTCAAAGAAAATATTTTTTCCGAAGAAACTTGAATGTCATCCTCCCATTTACCTGTGCACGTCTTTGATTAAAAAAATTCCCACATGCATTGCAAATTAGCTTATTTCATTCAGGCATTTAAGAAACAGAACAGCTTCTCTACATCATACCACTTTTAGGGGTTTTGGGGATTGTGTGTGACTGCTGCTATTTTCTTACTCCTTCCTCCCCCCCGAGAACCTTTCTGAAGCTGGTATTCAGTGCTTGAGAGATGCTGTTGCTTGTGGCTTGGTCTTGATCTCGGGGGTTGCTCAGTGAATGGGAATGGAAAGTGTTCACAGGATTTGGCTGGCTGTAACAACTGCTGTGACAGCTGTTACAGACTCATTTATGCCTCTTTCTTCCTCTGAGCAGTCTTAAATAAAGAAATGCAGTAGGAGCAGTCCTCTGCCTAGCTGACCCTTCTGCTTTACCAAGTTTCACAGGTGCTCATCAGCTGGAAATGACCGAGGAGTAGAAGGAGCTGGCAAACCTGGCTGGGCTCAGTGTGCCAGCAGGACACAGCCATGAAAAAGACAAATGTGATTTAGGATGTGTCAGGAGAGGCATTTGCAGCAGAGAGAGGGAAGTATTGCTGCCTTTACACAAGGTACTGGCGAGACCTCGCCTGGAATAGTGAGTACAAACTTGGTCACCCGTGTTCAAAAAACTTAATTGAAAATGGGACTGATAGGGAGAAGGGCCTACCGGGCAGACTGGAAAATCAAGGGAATGGAGAATGTGTCATATAAGAAAAGCCTACATCCTTTTAATCCAGCAAAGTGGCAGGCCGCGAGCAGATACAAACGTTGTCTAAAAACACTTCAAATGTCTATTCATCAAGGGTGAAAAGGTATTGCAACTGAAAGATAATGCTAGTATGAAAAAAAAAAGTGAGGAAAACAGTGTAGCCTGGAATTAAAGAGGCT